TAGGGTTGTCATTGGATTTTTGGCGAAATCTATGTATGGTTTGGACGTAAACAAATTGAAATTTCTGGACCTTTCCAACTGTCGCCAATCGCCATTAATTCCTCATTTTGTAATACGCCAAATTTTTTTCAATAATATCCAAATTTATTCAAAAGCTGTTTTTTTAATACTTCTTTTGTGAATCCGAATAATATGTTATTTTCATAACTACTTATAGTTTGCAACAGTTTTCCATGACTGTTAGGCAAAGTTTAGTTTATCTTTTTTAACTCCCTTCTCGGCTAATTCTGCTAATCTAAATTTGCTAATTCTGAAAATGGTGCACATCTTCAATAAGAAAAGTTATAGTTTTGTAAAAATGAAATGCGTTCGAGAACAATTTTTTTTTTTAATTTTTCAAAACTTTCTCCAACGCTGTGTTATCTGAACTCTTGCAAAAATCGAGAATTATTCATTGATTTTGATAATTTTCATCCAGTCCAGGTTACAAAAATCTCACAAAATGGGCGATTTTTAAAAAAGTGTTATAACTTTCAAAATGTGTAAGTTATTTTGTTCGTTCTGAAGACGAGGTAATTATTGACTGTCTGAATTTATTTAGGTATAAAGAAATGAGCTTTGAATTAAAGAATCAAATTCCGAGCTGAATGATATAGTATATTTTAATTACTTTAAAAGTCTCTGGGCTCATTACAAATAGCCTGACTTATATGCGGCTAATTTAGCTTGCGAATCGTGGTCAGAGAAAGTTTTAAAACAAACAATGCACAAAATTGATGTGAATCTGCTAAGATTGCACATTTTTAACCGTCGTTGAACAGCCGACCCAATTTTGGGCCGACCCAATTTGTTCAACTCCGTAGCCTTGTAGTTTTGAAAACTTCCTACGGTTAGCCTGACTGCAAGGGGACTTTAACCCATGATCCGTCTACCACTGAGAATATTTTACGTCAGCACTGTGGTTGGTGTTAGCCGGGTGCAGATTTCGTTTCGGCCAGCCATCGCTTGGATTTGAACCCGGTTCACCTCATTGGAAGGCGGACGCTCTATACCCTGAGCCACCACTGCTCAAATTGCACATTTGTATGTAGAGCATACATATAAATATTCTGCTTTATTTTTACATACATGTAAATATTCTGGATTTAAATTATTAAAAATGATGCCTTATTTATTTTGTTTTCATCTATCTCTATGAAAAAAAATCTGTTAAGAAAGGCATTGTTATTTATAATATTATAAAAGTGTTCCAAACAACATACTTGGTCATTTTCTTGCGTGAAAAAAACTAACAAGTACGCTAGCCTATAATCACGTTTCATAAAGTTGTTAATATATTATTAACCGGGAGAAAGCATTGGCATAAAAAAAGAAAACCCGCCAACATTCTCCAACCACAACACATCACGTATCTTTTACTTATATCCACCGCCAACTCCTCCCCCTCAAAAGGAAGAAAAGAAGACAAAAGGCAACTAGGGGGAGGTTGAACATCACAAACAATCTTTCTGGTCGGCTGATCACCTTTACGGCCCCCTCTCCCCCCCCCTTCATGTTAGGTTTGTCTTCTCTACAAACAGTGTTAATGCCTGAGACAAAAGCCCAAATCGTTGATGCGAAAACCCAGAAAAATTACTCTTCCAGCTACACCCCACACTCTGACATGGGGGGTGGTGGTGTGACGTCATTGAAAGCAAAGTCAAACCCCCAAACAAACCGCCTTTTTAAAACAAGATTCCTGGCAGCTTTTTGACCATTCATCCTTTTCCAGTTCGGGAGATCATGAAATTTCCTTTTGGGGTGCAAAAACCGGTTATACGGAAGCGATAACCGTGCTGCCTAATGTTCTTGGAGATGGGGAGGAGAAAAAAAAAGGGGATAATGTCCAAAGATGGTGACTTTTGAAAAGGGGAAAAGGAATTCCGCAAAATGGTTCTTTTTCGGCCCCGAACTTTTAAAAGACAAGACAGGAGATTTTTGAAAAGGAATACACAAAAGAACGTATGAATTGTGTCTTTGGAGAAAGCTTTTGTTTTGTGGCGTTGATGCCATCCGGTAAAAGAGGAAATAAGAACTTCTTCAGACGATATCTTCGTAAACAACAGCCCCAACTTGTTTAGAAATGAAAATTGATTGTTGAGACCCGTAATTGCGTTTTCTTTTTGATGACCAATAATTTATGCTGATTTCCTTTTGTTATTCAGTGAATACTCTGTCCTAAATACATCAAGAAAAGTTAATAAATAAAAATTATAAATTCGTATAATCAAAAAATATTTGACAGATACACTTGAGATTTTAAATCATTTTTTTATTTTTTTTAAATATTCTTTAAAGTTATTCATAATTTTTTTGTAATTATGCAATATTCACGTCGATTATCTTTAACTAGTATTAATTCGCAGTTGGATGAAGATCTCCAAACATTTTGATTCTACATGATTATTTAATAGTGTCATGCTTTTAATTATAGTGAGAAGATTTATATTTTATATACTAAATATATGAAATATTTAGTCATATGATATACACTAAAGATTTTAAATGATTTTTAAAAATATATTTTCTAAAGATATCGCGATCATAAATTTTTGTTATCTAAACAACATTCATTTCGGTTATCTTTAACTAGTATTCATTCACAGTTGGATGAAGGTCTCTAAACCTTTTGTTACTTTATGATTATTTTATAGTATCGTGGTTTTAATTATTGTGACAAAATATTTATTTTACGATTATTAATGATTTTGATTAGATACGGTTATTGAGATTATTTATTTTTTAAAAATAAATATAAAATGGCATTAAGGATAAAAGTAGCAATTAATTATAAGTAGTAGTAGGTATTAAAGTAGTTTTTCGAAACTTATACATCTAGAAAAATATTAAAACTACAGTTGGATCACAAATTAGATGTAAAAATTTAATATTCATACTAATGAATTAATATAATGATTAGCCACATTTTGTAATTGAGCAGAAGAGAATATTAAGTGAAAAATTTTCATGAACATAATAAGGTTTCCCCCCCCCCCATTTTCTGATGTTGTCTAGTAGAAATTCCAAACTCTTCTAAAATACCTCTTTGTAAAGAGTACTAAGTAAAAGTTTGATGTTAAAATATCAACTTTAGAAAAAAGGGATAGCTTACCACTATATTACCCATAGATAGTTACATACAATTTTGTGAAGAGAATGGACTCAATTTTAAAACAAAAAATACATCAAATGCTTAAAATATTAAATTCAATTGAAATTAAACGTGAAAAACAAGTAATAATTCTCAATATTTACATATAAGTTCATGTATTCAGTTATGATGGTACTTATGAAGCATTGGAAAAAAAAAAAGAAAAACAGCACAATGTTACGAATTTACATGGCTATAGGAATCACAAAAAAAGCACTCTGGAAAGGAAAACCATGGGGGAAAAAAAAGCACCGGAAAAAACACATTGTTAATAATTGTGTGAATTAAACAATGGATTCAATCCCGGTCGTTGAGACAGAAAACGCAATTAGACATTTTTTTTAAAAAATTAATAAGGATTAATTTACATTACGAAGGAAAATTTACCACACTTCATTCTGTTTAACAAAATGGTTAGAACTCTTAAGTTCAAAATTTTATTTATTTCACTTATTGTATTGTGATATAATAATAATTAGCTGAATACCCACTCATTAGCATTTAAGGGAGGAAAGAAAAGTCCAGAATCATTGTAATTGTCAAAGGAAATTTACTTACTAATAGTCACTTAACGTCGTTTCATCCAGCAATCAAATTGGCTTTCGTGTTTTTAATCCCGATTTCCACACAAATGATTCACCAGGTATTCGTTATTTTTTTCCCTTTTACTTAAATATTAAATGATTTTTCTATAAATATAGATTAAGCGAGGTAATTTCAGAGCACCCTAATAAATGTACATATATAAGAAAAAATTAAATCCAAAACGTATGAGATCTACAAAGCAATCATTGTTAGAGATCAGTGTTGATTGAAATTATTATAAAAGTAAATTTTAAATTTGTAAATATTTTTTTCCATTTTTTTTTAATATTTAATAATTTTGAACAATGTTTTACCTATTAATTTCAAAAATTTAAATTTTATCAATTTCCTTTCACTTAAAATGTATTTCAGTAAAAGATTTTGGTACTTATTAATTTTGTCAACTGTTATACGGCTATTATCTCAAAGAAACCTCTTAACCGAAAATAAACATAAAACGTAATAAAACAATCCGAATCATGAGTATCAGACGCAATAAAGAGACTACCGATAAAGTGAAATTTCCAATGAAAAAGATATGTAACCTTATTTAGAGCATAAAAACTACAAAGAAAGCTTTCATAAATAACAAGAAATATCGATCAATAAAATTTGCCCGTGTATTATGTAATAATTTAAACAAGTAGGTCACAGTTGGGAGGGTAAAGAACCTTGATTAGAACACAAAAGGATATATTAAGCCTTATCAATGAAATTAATTAATAAGATGATGATTCATCCCAAAGTGAGCGGTTAATAAGTACCTATCAATACAAAGCCACAAATTAGGAGAGGGAATATGTACTGCCCATAACGGCTGGAAGCAATTCCCAGCAATTGTCGCCAATAACGCAGGTAACATGTTCTACAGGATGTTCTCATTAACCTCCTTTAACTCAGTGTGCAGGACGAGTACTCTTTTCATGAGCAATTTCCGGTCTTCTTCGGGAACTGGCTCATTTGATTGGTCCATCATCAGGTAATTACGGGAAACTTCCTGCTAAAAAGGTTGGGATCGTGACAGGTTCGACCTGCCACGGTGGTTGGAGGTGACCTTTTGATGGCGTCACTCAATTTAGATGAAATCATTGTCCTCATAAAAAATATAAAAAAAAGACAGGATGATGTGTGCGGTATGTAACTTTATTTTTTATCCTTTCAACTTGGCAGTAATACACACCAAAAGAATGAAGACATATAAGACTGCCGTTACACGAAATAGTGCTTTTTGTTTGCAGAATAATATGCTATTTTCATAACTGCTGTTAGTTCGCAAAAGTTGAGTAGCACTGTTGCGTCAAATTTTGCCTGTCTTTAACTAGCGCCCTCTATGCTAATTCTGAAAATAAATGAAACATCACATTGAAGAAAAACCAAGATTTTGTGACAAATAGAAGTGTTTGCGAATTTTTTTTTTTAATATTTAAAAAGTTACTCTAACGGTTCGTTATCTAAGCCAGCGCTTTCCAAATGTTGTTCAGCGGAACCTTAGGGTTCCGTTGAAGAGCGAAAGGGGTTCCGCGAGTCAGTACTTTTTATAACCAGTGATGAGTTTTAAAACCTCTGATTATATTTAGATCTAACCTATAATTCATAATTTATTTAACTTTTCGGTTGCCTTTAAGAAATTATTTCAAGTAAATTACCAATGAAATAGAAATGGCATTTTTTAAAGGATAATATAATATTACTAATAACATTTTATTAAATAAATTAAGAAAAGTACAAGCATTTATAAAATAGTGCATTAGTATTTCCTATCGCGCTTTTCAAATCAAAATAAAGTAACTAAATTCTTTAATAAAAAAATATGTTTCCCTAAAAATAATTTTCAGAGCTTATAGCAGTTCTGTTAAGTTTTCATCTTGAACTAAACCAGAATTCGGCTTATTTTATTCATTTTTGGTTTATGTATACCAAAAACAAATTCATAATTCGACAAGATAAAGCACAAGGACTGCAAATTTAAATGTTGAATATAAAACCTAATTTAAGATAATTAATGATAAAACGATGAAAAATTTTTATTATTTTAATTAAATAATTTAAAAATAGTCTTGCATAGATTATAACGTTCACAGTTACCTTACTAAACTTTATTTATAAAGTCGGGGTTCCGTAGCAAAGGGAAATTTTGCAAAAATTGAGAAATATTTATTTTGATATTTTTCATTTAGGTGGAAGAGTCTGGCCAGATCAGCAAAATATTTTTTTAAATAATTAAGTTATTTGTCCGTCCTAAAGTCTAGATTGTTCTTTAGAGCAAGGTGGTGTAATGTTGTTAAAAATTATAGCTTGGCGTCAATTGTAAGGCATTTAAACTGTAGCTCTCGTATTTTCCTTGGCGAAAGAATTTCGAAAAACACTGCTGGAAACATTGAGTTACAAAAATAACTAAATAAGGAAAAGGATTGTTTAATAAAAAGAAAATAATTAAACCTTAAAATGAAATCTGTGGAATTCTTTTTTTTTTTCTATAATCGAAACCTCAATTTATATTTTATTTTGGCATTTCGTTTTTTTTTTTTTTTTTTTTTTTTAAATACCGGAAAAGCCTACACATTAGAGAGCCAAAGAATATTAAATCATAGTCAAATTTTGAATTTCTCTGTCTCATCATCTTCTATGTATTTTGATGTGTGGGCAATTGGGCTAGACATAACAACGCTTCTAGAAATGTCTATAAAGTATTATTCCAAATACTTTCCTCAGAAACGAGTTTACCTTGATGCAGTTAACCCCTACTCAGTGATTTAATGATTTGGAGATTCATTGATTCAGTTAATCACGGTTTCAATTTGTTACTCAACGATTTAGTTTGCAATACAGTGATTTAATTAGGGGTTGATTAAGTTAGTATTTCGTTTTTGATCATTTGATTTGAATTGAGCCGTGGAATTTCAAAATGGAGATCCCGGTTTGCGGTGTTAGACACTTAGTGGGGAATTAGCTTTCGACTATGGCAACCTTCATCTATCAAAAGGTACCCAAGATTGATTCGAGTTAGCATGTCTTATAAACTAGTAAATTGATGTTTAATAATTGTAATAGTTACGCTACAGCGTTTTGCAAGGAGGTAATCAGAACGTAATCGTAATATTTGGGATTAGAGGAGAGGAACATGAATAAGTGAGGGATGTTTAGTGTAAAAGACTGACTTACCTGAACATCTTTTAGGGACAGGCTTAAAACTCGTGGCAAAAATAAAATTTAAAAAAAAAATGATGTCTAATTTAAATTAATTTCCATTTTATTGAAAGAGTTAAATGATTAGTGGTTTTATTCGTTTTCCCTTCCTTGCGCGTTAGTTCCTTAAAAAAGCTCTTCACGAAGGCTTGATCCATTAATCCCCTTGTCTTCTGGTTTGAGTTCATAATTACAAGGCTGCGGAGTTGAACATTGAAAGTCGTGTACCTAAAAATGGATCAGGATATTCAACGCTGGTAGTAACAAAATAAGATACAAATAGTCTAAGTCAGGGATGGGGAAACTACGGCCCGCGGGCCAACTGTGGCCCGCCGGAAGATTTTATCCGGCCCGCGGACAGAATTTTAACTAGCCGATCAGTGGCGAATATATCTACTTTGTTTAAAACTATTTTTGTTGATTTCTTTTTTAACAAAGTACTGATGACCTTTTCACTTTCTCTATTTTTGTTCTACAAAACATAANTTGTTTCTGAATATGCCAAAAATTGAGTTTTACAAATCATTACCAAAAGCTAGTTTCCCAAATATTTCATGCCTAGAAAATCAGGTCTATGTTTGCTTCCTTTTATTTATGTGTGAACAAGTGTTTTCATCTACAAACCTGAGAAAAAAATCATTTCAGAAGTAGTTACCTAGAAGTAGTTTACCCTCCTTGTTCCTTAAAATAAGTACATCTCACTTGGAACCTTAATATAAGGAACTTTTAAAAATGAAATCGCAATTTCATTCATCTCATTAAATATTTACATTGAAAATTGCATAAAGTATTTTTTTTAATTTTAGATGTTTTTATTTAGCCCACCAAAAAAATTTTTCTTCGATTTTTGGCCCTCGACCAGAAAAGTTTGCCCATCCCTGGTCTAAGTATATGTTTATTGTGATGAGCAGAAGAAATTCAAGCTGATGGAGTAATTCATCTCTCATTTTCTAATAAGCTTAAACAGGGTGCGTTGCCAAATCTTTCACCAAAAATAAGCCCATTTTAGGTACTTTTTAAGGACTATTTACATTAACAAAATGCAAAATAATTTTCAAAGACTTAACATGATAAAATAACTAGTTTCTGACTAAGAACTCTTTTCTTGATTATATTAGCCATTTAAAATGCTCGAGAGATTTTTCGGTTCGATATCAGAGGATGGAAAATGAAGCCTGAAATGGAGAATATCTTGAAAAATGCAGAAGAGTTGCACATGAGAATGCAATAATTTCACCAATCCCAGCTCAGTAGACGTACATGCAGACTCCCAAGTATTTCATCAAACATGTAAAATGATTGGCCCTTTCATACTCTAGGGACCGACGATACACCATAATAGATAGCGGTTGAATGAATTGTGAAAACGTTGCATAGAACAATGTAAAAAGCACGCTTTTGCATAATACGTGGCAAAAATCGACATGGTAAAGAAAAAATATCATTTTCGAAAGGGAAAATTAAGCACTTTTTAAAAACACACAATGAAAAAAGCACCTTTAAAGGCTTTTAAAAAGGAAAATAAGCACTTTTTAAAAACGCTACGCACCATGTTTAAGGCTTACGGGCTGACTGTAATAAGCCTAAAAATATTAGGCAGATTAGAATATACGGAAGACTGGCACATCGCGGTGGCTGTTTGCAAAGAGCCTGATTATTTAATTAGCCTACGACACATAGTATAACGTAACGTTATCTAAGTAACACGAAACGAACACATTGCCTATTTTTTTTCCCGTTACCTTTCCTAAATCCGCAAGATTAACCAGCTGAAACAATAACTAACTGCTCTTAATAATCGTTGCATAAAAATATCAGTTATAATATTTTTTTTTCACTTTCCTCGAATGTATGAGTGCATTTTGTTGCTCCTTTATTAACAATTCTTCCTCTCTCAACTCGTGTTGTTTGTGCTGGTGACAAGGGTCCAGAGCCTCCATTAATTATTGCGATGGGGGGGGATTGGGGGTGAAAGGGGGTATCTGTGAAACTTTCTTGTTCCTAACTGTGTACAGAAATTAATTATTCACATTTTAACACGATGCCGGCAGTTAATGAGGTTTATTCGCCTCCCCCAACCCCTCCCTCCTTCATCTATCTCTAACAATTAAGCTGTTGGCGTGCAAATATGAACGAGTTTCTATTTTAGGGTTACCAGAAAGAAAAAAAATTTTAGACATATTTTTGGAATTTTACAAGTTTTATACATTAATTTATTGTTCATGTTTGTAAGATGGGTCATTCAGTTATGTTTAAGAACCGTGTTCCTGGTATTAATTTACAAGTGAAAAACAAACAACTATTGCAAGTAACTCTACAGAATTAATACTGGTTTCTGCCTTTTGTTCTCTACAAGAAAATTGAGGGGGGCGGGCAGTTGGAGATTTCGGTGCAAGAAGGTTTTAAAAAGACATTTAAAAGAATTTAAGAACACCAGCTTCTGAATAAAAACCGTCTGCAAAAAAATCTTTTTTTGATACTATTCATACAGTTGACCCTAATTTTAAACCAAATATTACGCACTTTTAATATGTTATTTAATGCCTAACTTCCACTAAACTGCTCAACTATTTTAAGTTTTTACGTGATTAATTTTATTTATAAAATTATGTAATTTTTGCTTAGGAGATCTGATTTTTTTTCTCCCTTTTCTATATCAATCGTGTACTTATTCGGAGGCAATCTTAATTTGTAATGAGGGTACCTGCTGGTAATGCTACTGTAGTAGAACTGTTCTTGAAAAATTTTTTTTTTTTTTCACTTTTGAGGAGATTTAAAATAAAAATAAAAATTACCTGCTATTTTTTGTAGTGGATTATATTTTATTCTTGCGATAAACAGCAAAATAACTAAAACTGTTTTTTAAATTTAATATTATTATTGCAATAGGTAAAAAAAAATCATTTTTAAAATAAATTATTTTCTTCACTCGAGATTTACACTTGACCAAATAATGTGTGACTATCGTTTGACCAATTATAAATCTCGAATTAACAAGTGGTGAACAAATTTTTTTTTTCATTTTATTTTTTTTAATCTAAATATTTTTCTTGTAACATGCCAACAATAACCATAGTTATTTTTGTTAAATTCTTAGTTCTGCGACACACTACTTTTGTAATATTGGGAATAAGACTTAATACTATAAGAAATATAATATAGATATCACAATGGCCGATCACATTCATTCAAACGATATTTGTAGAAAATTATCGAAACTTTTTTAAAAAATGTGCAAAATTATAATTATTAATCAACAAGAAGCATTATTTATGATATACAATTTACACTTTTAATATTTACCCATCAAAACAAATAATAATTCATGCAAGAACATATGAAATAAGTTTCGTTCAATACACACACCAACTAACCACGGCCAAGCACCTAGCCCCGTTTTTTAGGACTCTCTCTTTTTTGGCCCTTGTCAGACGACACTGTGGGCACCTAAGTTGATATCCCTTTTATCAAACTTCGATACTACAACTAACGAGACTATTTACAGTCACAGCAGATTTCAAGTGCATCTTGTTGCGTACAGACCACTGTTATTTTTTGGCTGCTAGGATCGAACCCTCGATCCTCAGCTCACCACCATCCCGAAGTGAGCAACGCCTTCACAACTGGTGTGAGTTAACACCTTTTGTGGTGTTAACTCACACCAATAACAATAACACAATAAAATAAAACTCGTTCCAAGCAAAATTAATTACTGAAAGTCATAAGATAAACACTCGTTTAAAGCAATAAGTAAGCCGTGATGGCTCAGGGGATAGAGCGTTCGCCTACCTTTGTGGGGAACCTGGTTCAAATCTCAGCGATGGCTGGTAGAAACGAATTCCGCATCCGGCTTGCTCCGACCACAGTGCTAACGTAAATATCTTCAGTGGTAGACGGATCATATGCTAGAGTCTCCTTGCTGTTAGGCTAACAATGTGAGGTTTTTGTGGTTTTCCTCTCCATGCAATGCAGATGCGGGTTAGTTCCACCAAAAAGTCCTCCAGGAAGGCAAATTTCTCCCAATACTTGATTTAGGAGTTCCCTTGTCTTCTGTGTTGGGTTCAAAATTACAAGGCTACTAAGTCGAACATGGAAACTTAAAAAATTGTCGGCTGTTCAACGACAATTATATTATAAAATAAAACAATAAGTTAATAAATAAATAAATTAAAAATATAAAATCAGTATTCATTTAACACAAAAAGAGGAATGTAATACTATAAAATGAACACTTGTTCTATACAGTAATAACGTAGTACATAATACAAAATAATCGCTCTTTGAACACAAACAAAAATTTAGCGCTATAAAAATAACAGCGTTCCACAAAAACACACGCAAAGGAACCTAACTTGCGTTTGACACTGCATTACAAAAGACTTGCAACAATTGCATTACAAAAGTTTTATTTTGGTTGGAAAAAAAAAACTTTAATTGAAATCAAAACCCTAACTAAAACCTATAATAGTTATAATAGAAATGCTACTAATGCTNTTTCATTTAATTTTTTAATCTAAATATTTTTCTTGTAACATGCAAACAATAACTATAGTTATTTTTGGAAAATTCTTAGTTCTGCAACACACTACTTTTGTAATATTGGGAATAAGACTTAATACTATAAGAAATATAATATAGATATCACAATGGCAGATCACATTCTTTCAAACGATATTTGTAGAAAATTATTGAAACTTTTTTTAAAAATATGCAAAATTATAATTATTAATCAACAAGAAGCATTATTTATGATATACGATTTACACTTTCAATATTTACCCATCAATACAAATAATAATTCATGCAAGAACATATGAAAAAAGTTTCGTTCAATGCAATAATAACAAACCAACTAACCACGACCAAGCACCTAGACCCATTTTTAGGTATCTTTTTTTACCCTTGTCAGACGACACGGTGGGCACCTGAGTTGATATCCTTTTTATCAAACTTCGACACTACAACTAACGAGTGTACATTCAGTCACAGCAGATTTCAAGTGCATCTTGTTTGTACACAAGACTGTTATTTATTTGGCTGCTAGGATCGAACCCACTATCCTCAGCTCTCCACCATCCCCGAAGTGAGCAACGCCTTTACGATTTCACAACTGGTGTACCAATAACAATATCACAATAAAATAAAAGTCGTTCCAAGCAAAATTAATTACTGAATGTCATTAGATAAACACTCGTTTAAAACAATAAGTGAGCCGTGATGGCTCAGGGGATAGTGCGTTCGCCTACCTTTGTGGGGAACCTGGTTCAAATCTCAGCGATGGCTGGTAAAAACGAATTCCGCATCCGGCTTGCACCGACCACAGTGCTGACGTAAATATCTTCAGTGGTAGGCGGATCATAGTAGGCGATCCACTGTTAGCCTAACAGAGTCCCCTTGCTGTTAGGCTAACAGTGGGAGGGTTTTGTGGTTTTCCTCTCCATGTAATGCAGATGCGGGCTAGTTCCATCAAAAAGTCCTCCATGAAGGCACATTTCTCCCAATATTTGATTCAGGAGTTCCCTTGTCTTCTGTGTTGGGTTAAAAATTACAAGGCTACTAAGTCGAACATGGAAACTTAAAAAATTGTCGGCTGTTCAACGACAATTATATTATAAAATAAAACAATAAGTTAATAAATAAATAAATTAAAAATATAAAATCAGTATTCATTTAACACAAAAAGAGGAATGTAATACTATAAAATGAACACTTGTTCTATACAGTAATAACGTAGTACATAATACAAAATAATCGCTCTTTGAACACAAACAAAAATTTAGCGCTATAAAAATAACAGCGTTCCACAAAAACACACGCAAAGGAACCTAACTTGCGTTTGACACTGCATTACAAAAGACTTGCAACAATTGCATTACAAAAGTTTTATTTTGGTTGGAAAAAAAAAACTTTAATTGAAATCAAAACCCTAACTAAAACCTATAATAGTTATAATAGAAATGCTACTAATGCTACCAACGCTTGTTAGATTTTAAATCACGCCATCAACACTTAGAATTGGTTAACTGACTGTAGTAGTAGATAGCTCCCTTCCCCCTTAATCCTACTTTATAGTACATGAACTAATGTTTCATTTTTATTTTCGCCAAATGATCGCTAACCATATATCATGGCACTCCTTCCCAAATTCAATTTGACAAAGAGCTCTTTCTAGCGCCAATGCAAGAAAAGCTCTACAATGCGTGTCGTAATATTGTGTGAAGCAATTGTACTTTTTAATTTTTTTTCTTCTCAACCCTTTGAGTCGAAAAATAAATAAATTCCGGCTTTAGTACTAACATTTAACTTTTTCGCCTTTCGTCGCCATTTTTGCTGCCTCCTTTGATCCTATTATTGTTTTTATCTTTTCTCTTATCTTCCTTCTTTTTCCTCATCCATTGATTTTTGTTCCGCGCCGGGCGAAAAGTCGTTAATAATATTACTTTTTAATTAGCAGAATCTTTGACTAAACACACTTTTTGATGGATGCCGTTTAACATGGCTGGCTTGCCTTCAATTCAATTTTTGTCCAGGTGAGATAAGACTATGGAAAGGTAATAAAAGGAATTTTTTTTTAATTTTATTTGAAACCTTTTTTTTTCTCTTCTTTTATTTACGTTCGAAACATGAATCTTTTATTTGCGACTGAAACTTTTAGTTAGGAAGTAATTAATTATTTACAAATCTTACGAACGAAATGCTTTTAGCTGAACAAAACCTTTCCATTGTATTCGTGGATGAAGAAGTATTATTGATTTTACATTAATTTGCGACAATGATTTTAGTTTGATTTTATTTTTTTATCTCGGTTTCTCTTAAATACAGTAAAAAAATTGATTAAATCGTGAATTTACAATAGTATATGAAATTGTCAATATAACAAGTTTATTGTTATAAACAAATACGATTATTTAATGTTAAAATCAGTGGTCGGAAAAACTACATTTTCTTTACAGTTAACTCTAACTACTTAATTACAATTGTAGTTAACTGCAAGTATTTTTTTTTTTTTTAATGTAGCGACTACAAGCTACTTTTGAAATATAGTCCCTACTTTAAGAGGAGAAACTTAACACAGGATTCCCACGGTCCTTAAAAACTACTTAATTTTTATTTTGGAAAATAAGGGCCCTTAAAAGTACTTAATTTTGGTAGAAGGTTTTTAGAAGTTCTTAATTTTCTGCATCACTATTACTTGACAGGAACAATTTTTTCAGTCTTACAAAAATATTTAAAAAAAAGGCATTATTTTATCACCTAGAATGAGACCATGCATTGAGGGTAGAGCATTTTAGAGAGACTAACTGTTTGGCATAACTTAATATTTAGCATGATTGGCCCACAACTGAATATGTTATGCGTGCCTAAAAGCGAAATATAAAAACTTGTTTTAATAATTTTTTCAATGTGTTTCCCAAATTTCATTATTTACTCTTTTTTTTTAATGTATGGAATACAAAAAAAATTATATTAACATAAAAGGGTCCAAACTTCGGACCGCCCTCCCGTCCAAACTATTAGACTAAACTTAGGTGGCGAAAATCCAAATCCGTCAACAACAAAAAAAAATGCATGTTTATTCAGAGAAAGTACGTTTTCGTGTCTGATTTAGTAACTTAAAAAATATCGTCAGCACCAATTAAGTAGCATATATGAGTTCACCCTCTCAAACCATTAAGATTGAGTTCAAGAACATGAAGATCCGATCATAACTTATTCAGGGTGGTCCGTTTTTTATTTTGAGCACTATACTCCAATTCAATGTTATTTAACTCCAGCTTAATGTTTAAAAAATTTTTCCAATGTAATAAGATACTTTTGAAAAAATTATCATTTCAGATTGCCAGCTTTCTACACTCTTTCTTCTAGGGAGGGAAAATAAATCTATGTTTTAATTTATTAATCTTTTTTTATTTACATAAATCTTTATTTAAAGTTATTTTTCATGCCACTACATTAAAATAATTTAGTTAGTTCTTATGAAATCTAACTTTGTATCAGCTCTCGTGGTGAAGCCTTTAAAATGTTGGCAAATTTGCCAAAAATTCTGAAAACTTTAGTTTTAAATTGCCTAACACTCTATAAAATATTATTCATAAAGCGTAGTAGTTGGCAGCCTTGAATACACAAAATTTAATTTGAAATTTGTAGAAGCAAATTGCGATGTTAAAATATATAACAATTTAACAATACAGCTTTCATATCTAGCAGTAAGCCTTATACGGTGCTAAGTTGAACCACAATAGAGAGATTTTGCATAGCGTTTGTCTTAACTTTACCTTCTACCCTTATGATACTGCAATTTGTAGCTGTGTAACTCTTAATAGCGTTAGAGCTAGACGGAATATCACTTCTTAAATTTGATTACGTGTGATTCTATTTAAACTTGAATTGAAATAACGTCCAATTGGAACACATTATTAGGGTTGGAGCAAATTCGCATAGAATTATGGTTCACAGTAACGATTGATAGCTTTGAGCCGCCGATTTTTTTTCAACAATTCGATCGCTAACTAGGCTAGTCGTATTAAAAAAAAAAATTCTGTTTTTAGGTGTTCATTTCAACAACAATAAAAAGGAAAAAATAGTGAGGATATTATGGTTCTACTTTGGGCCAATTTTTTTAAACATTTATCCATTCAATAAGTAATCGTATCAATATTATGGTTCAATTTTAAGCCGATTCTGTACTAACCCATTCAATAAGTATTGAGGTAAATTTTATTTAAATCAATGCTATTTCTTTTGCTGCTTATTTCGACAGCAATAGAAAGAGAAAAAAATATTAGCGATATTATATGGTTCAACTTTGAGCCGATTTTTCTGAACTTAACCATTCAATAATTAACCAGGCTAATCTTATTTAAATCAATGCTATTTTGTTTGCTGTTTATTTCGACAACAATAAAAAAAATAAATAGTAATGATATTATGGTTTAACTTTGAGGCCGATTTTTCCGTACTTGCACGTTCAATAACTAACCGTAACAATATTATAGTTCAACTTAGAGTCGTTTTTTTTTTTAAGTTACTCATTCAATAACAAACCAGGCTAAGTCCTATTCAAAACAATGCTATTTGTTTGCTGTTCATTTCGCCAACGATGGAGAAAAAAAATTGCAACGGTATTATGGTTCAACTTTGAGCTCATTTTTCTGAACTTACTTATTCATTAACTAACCTGGCTAATCCTATTTATAAAAATGCTCTTTCGTTTGGTGTTTATTTTTTCTGCAACAATGAACAGAAAAAAAATAGTAATGATATTAATGCTCAACTTAGAGCCGATTTTTCTATAATTACTCATTCAATAACTTACCAGGCTAGTTGTATTTAAAACAATGCTATTTCGTTTGGGTGTTATTTCGACGACAAACGTAAGAAAAAAATGTAGCAAAAGGAGATTTTCCAACCACTGTGTGAAGAAGAAAAAAGATGCAAGTGGAGGTGAATGGAGGAGGGGAGAGAGAATGGCACAATAAACGAAATAGAATGCTGTGGACGTAGAAAAGGGGGGATTGCAATAGAGAAACGTCACTGGCGCCATGTGAGTCCCTAGCAGGGGCCACGAAGTCGGTCAGGGCTTGGGCTTCATTGGTTAGAAAGCTGGTGGAGGACCTCCTTCTTTTTCATCTCCCCCTCCCCTTTCCCTTCATTTCGTTGCTGGCCATTGCTGACTAATTCTGTGAAATTCTCAGATTCATCCTTCTCTTTTTTGTTTATTATTTTTATGAAATAGGTAGATAATGACAATAAAATAAAGGATTTCTTAGCTTTTCTCATTATTTTCGGTTCCCCCCCCCATCCTTTCATTACGTCAAGGGGCTTTCTAAGAAAATCACCTTGTTTTCTCTTTCCTCATCTTAGATTTATGATTTCTTTATTTGAATTTGCTTGAATGAAAAGGAGTTGGCCATATGCAGTCACTGTTAAACGATTGAACTTTATATTATTTTTTCAGATGCATGGCAAAGTTAGTAAAGACATATATTATTTATTTAAAAGGGAGAATATAAATAATTGTATGCAATAAATAATTTATATTAGGTAATTGAACGTAAATATACTCCTGATAATTCTTGATGTTAGTTCTAAGAAATAAACAAAATACAATATTTAAGTAAATAATGGATAATAACCGTCAAAATTATAAGGATTGTGCTAAAGATATGTTCATTAAACTAATCCTCTTAATAATTTTAAATCTACATATTTTAAAAGCATATGCAGTTAAAGATTAAATTAAGATTAACTATCTAAAATCATTGGTAAATAATTGAACACTAATATTAGACGCAATTGAAAGAAAGCATGAAGAGCTTAGTGGAAGAAACCGGTAAGTGACATTTTAATGAATTTGAGTAAATGAGCTTTAAAGTTTAAACGTTATTCGTTTTCGTTACTTCGCTCAACTTTATGTCTTTAGTATATTTGTGAAAACGAATTATAAAATTTTTAGGAGTACATTTATTTAACCCTAACTCTTTTATAAAGGAGAATTTTTTAAAATTATTTTTGTGCTTAGCATCCGCTTTTTTTTAACAAGAGTTTTTTAATGTTTTTCAATGAATATGATTTTGCGTGAAAAGCTTCTTATATTCACGAAAATGTTTTTTACCAACCTCAATTTGGAACAAACTGGCATCAAGTTTTAACCAACCTTATTGCTCCGAAAACGATTCAGAGTTAGCGGGAATTCAACGTTTTGCAGGTTTATTGGTGACTGTCGTATTAATTGGCGAGAATACGGTAATTATTGATTTAAAGAACTATTTTAATTAGTGTTGATTTTGAAATAGAGCTGTTTTCGAATGCTGTGTATTCGCATGAAACGATGTTTTTTTTCCTCCCGAATATTAATCTATTTTCATAACTGATGTGAGTTAGCAACAGTTACTCGTGACTGTTACTTCAAGTATAGCCTATCTTTAACCAGAGTCCTCTATGTTTATTTTGAAAATGTCGCCAAAACATCAATGTGGAGAAAGACCACAGTTTTGAGAAAAAGATAAATTATTGTGATGCTATTAAAATATATATTGATTACTAGAAAAGGTGAACTATACTGAGTGATAATTTAAAGGTATTGGTGAACTAAAATCGCTTTAACTTTTAGACAATAATTTCATAAATACACGAGCTAATAGATAATGTTTAGGGTTTATTTAAAACTACTTTCAAAGTGTTAATTGACTGCAAATTTAAAATGATATCAATACAGTTTTAAAGAGCGACTAAATTTTTTTTATTTAATTTTTAGTTAGTTTTTTGTGTAATTTAAAATTAAATAATTGTAAAAACAAAAAGGCAATTTTGCTATGCTACAATTTAACAAATTGTCACCCTATTTATGTTTTGTTTGTTGCATATTTCCTAGCATGTGTGTGTAACTACAAATTATATTAATACGAGTTTTAATGAGTTATTAAACTTTTTAATTAATTTTTAGATATTTTTTGTGTTATTTAAAATATACTGTACTTTAAAATTCATGAATTTCTGTTTCCTAAATGCATATTTCCTAGTGTGTGTTTGTAAAATATAAATAAAATAAAATAAAAAAATCTTTGCTCGATTTGAGTTAAAACTGATTTAAGAAATTTAAGAACGTTTTGGAAAAAACGAATTTAAGTGTAGAACGTTCGACAGATATCTAATATGTACATAATAAATAATATTAACATAATAAATATGTGTTCGAATGTTTACATGATAAATAATTGATTAAATAATCAGTTTAAAAAAATAATTTTTATCTCTGAAATTGATAAGCTAAATCGAGTATTTTTAATATAATGAAATTCGGAAAGAATTGCGTTGCATCTGTTGGCATTTTTTAAATATTTCCTACACCTTATATGCGTGCAATAAGTGTTCTACAACGATAAATAGTTTTTTTTATTTATTATATCATACATAAATTGCTAATTTAATCGAGCATTTTCTAAAAAATTGCTCTATATTTTTTAATGCTTTGCTAGTTTTTATTTCTTATTAAACAGACGCTAATTTCGTTGGTACTTTATTATCAGAGGGAAGATAATATATTTTTATCTTTCTAATTTGCTGCATGTACACGTTTTTATTCGCGAATGCAAATAAACTATCTAACTTATTAAGAAAAATAAAGTTCCATTTATCCAAAGCGAAGTATGACGCCAAAAAAGGATGTACCCTCATTCACTTGACATCGTGATTTTACGCTGTCCAATTCTGTTAAAATTATTCGCCAGTGTTCGCCAAAGGGAGAAAAAAAAATTCTTTATTCATTACAGAAGAGAGGGAAAAAAATTGTAAATTTATCAAGCATAGTCTTTATTTACAGTAGAGAGAAGGGGGGAGGAGACGGTGTGTTTTTGAGTAATCTCGTATTTTAATTATTATCTTTCGCATTAATTGTGGTGGCTTTACTCGAAAGTGGCGCCTGTGTCTGTTTGAAAGTGAGATTGGCGGCGAAAGTGCAAAAGGTATTCCCGATTTTACTCTTCCCGGGGATCGTGTCCAAATATATTTGTTGAAATTATAGTTCGCGATTCATTTGTAATTCTTAATATCCGTGCAGCAAAATGTGGTAATTGATGTTGAGCGATATCGAAGTTTAACGATCGCGATCTGTCGTCAGGAAATATTAATATTTACAAATTATATCGTGATAATTAATAATTAAATAAATTTTACAAATTATATCTTGATATTTTAATAATTCAATAAATTTACATAATTAATTTATATTAGTTTCGTTACCCAAATGAAATATAAAAAATAAACATTTAAAATCATGTTGTTTTGGAGGGTTTTCATATAAAATGTTTAGATGTTTTAAACATTTTTCAGAAATTTTTCGAGCGATTTTGTTTTTTGTTTCTTAAAATTACGTAGTTTAAATAAACTTTAAAGTTTAAAAACTTTACTGTTAAAAACTTTTAAAACTCTTAAATACTGTTACTGTTAAAAACAGTTAAATACTTCACTGTTAAAAACTTTAATTATATAATAAATTAATTAATAATAAATAACTTTTTTTTCCACATGGAATTATCTTTGGATGAAAGAATTTTATAATTACTTGCAAAACGTTTTCTATTTACTTTAAGCTAAATATGATGTATTTTACAAAGAAAGTGAAAATATCATTATGGCGCCTAATTTTCGAACTCTTGCCTGTTAAAACTGATGAAACCGTTTATTTCCTGATTTCAGCAATGCCTGTATTTTGATGGTCAAGTATCCAAGTACTGCACCTAGGTACAGCCTTTGGGTTCAAGATGTAAATTTTCTTGGATTGACTGATTCCCCCCCTCTTTCTGTGGTTGAGATAGTGTCAATATGTAGGTTTGCAGTTTCATTTTTAAAAATTTAAACGAAAGATATCTGAACTTTTTAGTGTAAGAATCAATCTAAGAATCAATCTAAGAGCCATATTGATTCAGCTATTAACTCCCCAAAAGTCTAGACCTAGTCGGGAAAAGATAAAAAAAGACTAAGAGGGTCAAGAAATTCAAGAAACACGGTTAATTTTTCTCGGTTTGGGGACCAATTTAAACATTTACTAGGGTATTTTGATGCTATTTCCTTCTCTCTAATCAAGATATCTTGAGTTTGACTCATATTTTCCGTACATTATGCAAAAACAGGGCACGTGCTGAGGATTTCAAATTATTAGCCAAATATCAAAAGTATTCGCCAATTATCGGAAGCCTTCGCCAAATGCAAATCTTAAAAATTCTTCATGATTACTTTTTCTATCATAGAAACCTTTTTTACGGTAGTTTGTGTCAGACTTATATTATTTGAACCCAATTCTAATTAGTTAAGCGACGCATCTACCGAAAGTTATTGTAATCGAATAAAAAATACTGATTTGTTTAGAAAAATTCATTTTGACGCCATTTTAAAATTCTTTCCCGTGAAAAAAATCATTTAGCCAATATTATCGCTAAAACACAATTTTATTCGCCAAATTTGCGATTTTATCTCATTTGGCGAGCTGTCGAATGCTTAGCGCTGGCCCTGCATAAATGTTAGGTACAGCCAATTAGTGCCGAGGAGTAGACAATTAAACCATAGGAGGGAAGGAATTGTAGTTGCTGGTGTGACAAAAGTGCCTTAATAATAATAAACAATAATTTCGAAAGTCATAAAATAAATTGTTGTCTCTGATTTGTAATTCATTGACTGCAACCATTATGTTGTCTCTTAGGAGGTACATTTTTGTAATTTTTTGACCACCCCCTTTTGAATATTAATGCGGAAAAGAAAAGGAAACCATTCTACCTGACTGCTTAATTTGGAAAGGCAGTTAAGGTGCTTGGTAGTGTAAGGGGGTGGAGGCGGCAATCGTGTTATGCAAATAGGTGTTCCCAAAATTCTCCGGTATGAAAGGCCCTCTAATTATGTCAATCGTGATGGGTGGGCTCCTGGGAGATCCTGCACCCTAATTAAAGGAAAACTGTCCTTGGACTCCCTTTTCAGCCAGGGCATTTTCTTAGATCGCTCTTATGGGGAAAAACATTTGGGAGGATTATTAGGTTTTTATCGGAACACTTTTTTCTCTATCGAACAAAAAAAGTGCGATAATTTGAGATTACCAGGCTTTTAGGGTGGATTTCAGGTTTTTTAAGACATTTTTTTTTACCTTTCTTTTTCCCTCATTTTCTTTTCATACTTCGTTAAAATCTGGAGTTATTATTATATTTGCCGTTCTTTTCGCTTCCTTATGCTTTTAATGATCTCGCCCTGTATTATAATAATTTTTCCCTGATCCAGGGATATTTATAATTTTTTTCTTCTTCTTCTTTGCTCATTCATTAGTGCTTTGCTTCTTAGCTTGGCTTGAGGAAAGTCTTTTTGGTAGTAAAATGGTGCAAGAAGTTAAGGAAAATTTATTTGTTTACCGACAATTTTCAAACTATTTATCTTGATTATTATTGTTCATTTATAATACTTTAAAGTTTTCTCGGCTTGGATAGAAATTGAATGAATTTTACTGTATTTTAGTATGGTACAATTTGATCAAAATATAGGGTTGAGTATATTTTTTAAAAATTATGTTTATAACTTACTCTTTTTACTTTTTGTTTCCTCCAATTTTTATGATAAACCTGATGCGTACCCTGATTAATTAAAAACAAATTAACGTTTGAATATTTTAATTTAAAATAAATTAAGAATTTTCGGTTTCAAAACTTAATATTTTCAGTTACATAATCAAAAATTAGAAGAAATTATTTCCAAGAATTGTTTCCAAGAAAATTTGTGATATCTTTGTTATTATCCAATGCAAAATAAATAAATAAATGAAGCAAAAATATAGATAAATAAATAAATAATTGAAATAATGAAGAGGTTTGGATTTTGCTTCCCTTGTGCAATAAAATCTTCCTGACATGTAAAAACAACAACTTCTCAGCTAACACTTCAGGATTATTATAAATTAACCCGAATGAACAAAGCAGCGTTAGTTTGAATATTGTTGTGTCCCTGGTCGTGTAAGTTACCATTTTGGTGATCAGAATTGGCCGTCCAGCTCATGCGGTTTTCACGATGCTTATAGGATCTTGTTTCATTCGAGGACCTTACTAAGCTGCTAACCTTCATCAAGCTAGGTGGTGCAAGGAAATGGAGAAGACCTCCATTCAGAGGACATTTTATTTTATTTTATTACCGTCGTTGAACTGCCGACCCAGTTTTGAGTATACGACTACCAAAATTCAACTCCGTATCCTTGTAGCTTTGAACCTAAT